ATTTTTTTTTTTTTTTTTTTTCCTAGAAAAACATTGAACCCAAGTAATATAGGTAGATACTACAAAAAGAAAGATAAAAAAAGCGATACTCTTTCTTCATAGTCCAATGATGTCTTAATATACATACATGTATAGAGAAGTTAAAATTATAAATATAGCATAAAACATAAAATTTCGCAAAAATGTCCTTTTGTCTAATCCCTTTTAGATGTTCAAAGCAATAAATGCAATTTAATGTAAAATTGAATTTTTCAGGAACATGAAATATACGCTTCAAATTGCAAACTCACATGTGTCTCTGCACACGCGAATGGAATACGAAAGATCCAATACGAAAGATCTAATATTTCGTATTATCGTAATTATACAAAATTAATTTTGTTAAAATTCCAGATTAAGAAGAGAGGCAAAACCAATGTAGTGCTGCTGATTAATTCCGCCATTTTCTTTACACATAGTGACGGGATATCTACAGTTATTTACAGAATATTGTTTTATCTAAAAAAGTTTTATTTTTACCTTTCTCTTGACACCTATATCGATATTTTTTCATCAATTTCTTATGAAACTCTCGTGGCATAAAAATGGAAAACCCTTCTCGCTTTGATAGATTTTGGTAGATTGGATCAATGCGGGTTCAAATTAATGTACATTATATTTTAACATTAAAGTGAACAAACCGAAAACAAAATTAACGTTTGTGTCAAATGAAAAGATGTCTCTAGTATAAAGATCGATCGAATCATTAAATGAAATGAAAAGTTATTAAAAACAGTTAAAATTTCTCCCAAGTTGTGATGAGAGATAAAAATTATTATTACTTTATTATTAAATCATGTTTTATTATAACTTATGATTTACACCTTATCATTTTTAAATATGCTAATGTTATATCTAATACACAACTCAAAATATTATTCTGGAATAGAGTCCTATATATAGAATTTCTATTCAAAAGAAGGGAAATATAAACGAGCAGTTATTTTCTCTACTCGGACGATATATCCGTATGCTCGGTCTTTCTCTTTCCTTAATCTAGAATTTTAGAAACTCTGGAGATGTCGATGCTACAACAACTGCTTTCACACAATCATAACCAATCATGTGAAGTCGCTTGACGAAAATTTACACATTAATTAAATATGCGAGATCTCTGCTGCGACAGTCGTTTCGCGGAAGCGCTTCCTCTCCGCGTCGCGTCGCGTCACCGCTACCATGTGAATGACGTTCGCGTAATCGATTCCGTGTAAAACCGTCTCACCCACGATCTGACGACGTTCCGGATGCAAGATAAAAAAGAAGACTGGCAATTTAATTATGTCGTTTGGTGGTGCAGCGCGCGGAGATGCGGCAACTAACGAGATATCTCGTTAAGCCGCATAGACGAATAATCGGGCTAACCGTAACTCGCGATAGTGGCACGAACAAAATTTCACGATCTTCGATCCTCGTCGTTAACATTTCGTTCGATATTCGCTAGACTGTTAATTTACATAGGCACTGAGGCGGAAGAGCGATCATATTGAATTGGTGCCCTACGAAATATGAACAGCTTTTATATGAAAAGAAATCGCGATTACGCGTGCGCGTCTCTATAAGGTAGATAGTATCGATCTTAATCATATGAATGAATAACAATATAAATTCTTTGAAAATGAAATTTTTGAATAACATTTCTTTAAATGCATATTATTTATTCGATAAAAAGATTAACGATATTTAGATCAATAAATCATAGGTGGTTTTATTTAAAAAGAGAAATAAATTTATTTTTAAAGCAAGTTATTATTAAGCCAAAAGTTAAACAACAGACTTCAGAATAGAAAATATATTTTATATAAATATATTTCTAAGATATAAAGAGATCATCTCAAATATTCTTTACTAAAAATATATTTTTATAAAAATCATCCATATTTCATTTCCATACGCAATCGATTTGTTCCGTCTACGCGACACACGTTATACTATGTACGATTTAATTTAACATATACTTGTTAATTAGATGTTCTTTAAGCTCAAGTTTCTATTATTTTTATGTGGACAGTTTTATTAGCATTTATTTTCACAAATCATATTTGAATTTTATGAAATGCGTTTTCTTCGAAATGCGAGCTGACAGTGGACTGTTTAATTATTGCGTAGAGCTGACATTGATAGAGATACCGAAAGCCACATATGTAATCTGTCTAATATTTTTATAAATATAATAAACGTTATAAATAAAATAAATTTTAATAAATTGAAACAATTATTTATACATTTTGAAGAAAATTGGACAATAAAAAATTATCACGTAAAAAAATTTAAATAACAGTCAAAATATTCATCACCAATTTACTTTTGATTTTTAGCAAGGAATTTTATTTCAAAGTTTTAACAAGCTTTTCTACATTTTTTTTCAAACACACCATTCATCAATGTGGCGCACAGTAATGGCTTCTATATATATAAAATAACGCGACTAATGTTCCATCAATATCAATGATGTGATATCGATATCGATATTCAGCGATCAATGTCGTGGATCGCCGAGAACGCGAGGCGATGGATGCTATTTTGTCGTTATCTCGCAATCTCCCCAAGTTCGAGAATCGAACTGCTTGTGGCAAACGTAATTTGCGTTTTAAGAACAGATTTACGGGTTACGGTCTATCTTACGTCGAGGCGAACAAGTGGTGCAGCACGATCAGGGTAATGCCGATCGTCGCGGGCGGTGTATTCTCTCTCGATGTAGTAGACGCCGAATTGTCATCCGCGTCGAGGGCCGGTTCCAGGGTCGATCCTGTTTCCCTTAATGAACCTTGATGCGCGTGATTCAGCCTGTGATCGCGATCACCGATTGACTCGCCCGCGGGATCCTCCGGTCGTCGGTCGCCGCTCTTTTTCGGATGCTTAGGCAGTTCCATATCTATAACATGATAAGGATGACGGAAGAATCGCCAATGAATTGTGTCAAATTCAATCAGATTAAATCAACAACAAAATTGTTCAAATTCTGGAATAATATTGGTGGAAGATATTGTGGAGAAATTAACAGGCCTCCGACCGGAGGCTCGGTAGATCATTCGTACCGTTTTCGACCCGAGACACTTATTCCGCATGATCGCTGTAACTGTCTGATGATGAACTATTCGTATTCCCAACCTTCTATTAATATTTAATTGATCTCCTTTCGGTACTTTCTCTATCTCTTACAATATAGTCTAAAAAAATTTGCGTTACAGTTATTTGAAAAGCAAAAGCTCGGAACTTGAAACTCGTTCGAGTATTTTCCCAGAGTCATTCTTACCTTTTTCATTCTTACTTTTAGTATCTACATTAAACGAGTAATTCTCGTCGTAATTCTCAGAAAGAGAATTAAATGAACGTGAGGAATGAACAGTCGCTTACAACAAGTTGTCGAGTCAGTGTGACATTGTCGATATTTGCGTTACGCACGTGCAATGAGAACATTAAGCTTGCAGTTTCTTTGTTTTATTGGATTCAAGGCACGATCGTGCCGAAACATTATTTCAACTACGGTCAGCTAGTAGTCGGTGTGAGATATCATTTTTTTTTTCGACATTTACAGAACCTTGATGGAGAGTATCGCGCGATATTTTTACGCTCGACGTCGTTTCAACACACGTGAGGGGAATAAAAGTGAAGTGAGAATTCTTTTTCGAAATTTTGCGC